TTCGTCCTCAGGAAGGAAGTGTCTTTACATAGCTTGTTTGGAAACAAATACTGGTACAGGTGGTAAACTTAACGTTCATGTAAGAATGATAATGACTGCAGTAAAAGAAAGCTGAAAATAGATGTGGAAAAGAGCAACTAATTTTTTTCAGCTTGATGAATTTGCACATGCAATTCCCATCTCTCTCAGAATGGAGGACCAAGCTGCCATTCTGAGGGACCTTCATAGGCTGGAGGAACAGACCCACCACAACATCATGACAGTCAGCAAAGACAAATATACAGTTCTGCAATGAAGATGGGGCAACCCTGTGCACTAGTACAGGCTGGGAAGGGACTAGGTAGGTAGCAGTTCTGCAGGAAAGGCCTGGGAGCCTGGCAGATATCCAGTTGAATAAAAGTCATCAGTGCACTCTTGTCATGTGAAAACCCAGTCACGTGTTGCACTGCGTTAGCAAGGTCGGGGAGGGGTGAAGTATAAACTAAGGAGAATCCAAAACAACACATAAATAGCAAGGGCATCTAGATGTAGTGTCTTTACTTCCAGTAAAACTGATGAATTTTTATTCAATGAATCTTTAAGGTAGAATGTTTAAATTTTGGTATGTGCAGGGGTGACATCTGAGGTCTCTTCTCCTGCAGAGAAAAATGCCCTGTTGCAGTCAGGCAGTGCTGTTTTCTGTGTCTAGGGATCCTCAGCCCATCATAGCCTCTGTTTATCACAGTGTTTATAATTTCTCCTTTTTCAGTGAAGGAATGAGCAGCTTCAGAGATTTCACGCATAGAGCGGCTTCAGAGATGTCACACCCATAGAATACCTACTGGACAGAAAGTACAGACTTCCTTTTCTGATAAGTGGTCTATGAAAATACCCTGAGGTGTTGAAAAGCCATGGCTTAAAAAATGCTGTAGTCTCAAAAAGAGTGGTTTAGTTGTTTGTCAAAACAAGGAGCAGTTTGAGCTCTTGGCAGAGTAAGACATCAAAGTTACGTTTCCTTTAACCACTATCATGTTGGCATCAAAACAGCCCAATATAAGGCATTAAGTCTGTTGAAGGTAGAACCTAGAAGGCAAACAATCTACAGGCCATTAAGCAACTTGTTTGACCTTAAGGGGGAACAAAAAGGCTGGTGAGAAAAGATTGTGTATTGAGTGTATATGTTAGGAGGTTGAACGGGGAATGTGGAGTTAAGGAAGTGGGCCATTCATTGAGATCGCAGATTTACTGTGTTATGGATACAGACTTATCAGAAACAGTCACATACAGAATCTATCAGTTCTAGTGGGTTGTGGCAAGCATAGCTCCACTGTTTCCACGACCACTATATCCAAAACTTTGAGCCAAACCTGATCAATAGACATAAGACAGTTCTGAGTAGCATCATTCAAGTGCAGGTGTAGTGCATAATCCATGGGGCAGGAGTAAAGCCAAGGTTCAGAGTATGTCTGCTATGCTTGCCATATATCAATTCATGCTATCATATATTGGACTTTTGCAGCCGTGATTGAAATTACCTGTGATTGAAACCAAAGCTGAGTGTTGTATAAAAGCCCAGGGGAGCAATGCACATGACATAGGAAGTGAATAAGGATGTGGTAAAGCAAGACCATCTTTGTAGTGTGAATGGTTCACGTGTGATTTTTCTGGTTGTTATGATTCTGCTTCACAAATTTGTCACTGCAGGTTGGCAGTGGACACAAAACCATGAAAATTATCAGAAATGTTTTTGTGTCAAGTTGGAACACAAACTTTATGAGCTATTATGCTGCACTTGCTGAAACTGTTGTGTCCCTATATTTAGAAGCAGTTTGTTTTTCAAGCTGTGGTTGCAGTAATACATTTTCAATTGGGCATGAAACACTGATGAGACATGCACTGATGAGTTTTTCCACATACTCTCTTGAAGCTTCACATTATTTTTTTTTTCACGGGGAGACTTTTTGAGGTTCTTTTCTGTTTATAGGATGTCTGAGAAAAAGTTTCCATCCTGTGTTGTAATTAAATTTAAATTGAAAATTCTTCTTTGGGCACTTATTGCATATCAGCTGCGGCTGATTAGTATGCTTTTAAGAATCCTTTTATTCTAATCTGTCATAGGCCAGAGAAATAGGCTTTATTTCTAGTTTCAAAAAAAGTTTGTTGTTTTTTTTTTTTCTTTCTTATGGAGTATCCTAAAGGGTGCAGGAGCCTTAAGAAAGCACTTTACTGGTCACATTCTGAGTGACATAATGGGGGAAAAGAAACTCTTAGTTGTTGTTGTTTTTTAATATAATGCTTAGCGGTTTTTAGCCTACACATGATAGTTAATAATACCGGTTGTAGCAAAGAAATGAAAGGCACTCCCACACTCCTAGAAATCAAACCTGTCTAATTTGGTTAAATGAAATGCATACTGAAGACATATAAAAAAATAAATACTCTGGAGAAAATCCTGTTACCTTGAAGAGGAGAATGCCAATGTTAATGTACTCCTGCATGAGTAAGACTATCTTTTCTTTCTGTTTTTTGCCAAAGTACAGATCTGGAAGAACTTTGAATAGAATGGTGATTTTATGATAATGGTTATGATTTTTGGCCCTGCCAAAGTTCTTCCAGATTCGTACCTGCAATTTTGGTGCTGTAACTCAGAGCAGGCCCCTCTGCTGCTTCCTGGGGTGAGGATACATGCTTCCGCCTGCAGTCGATGCCACTCAGCACTTCATTTCCCCCCCACCGCCCATCACAGGCAGGTCCTGCAGCTGTGCAATTGTCTTCTCATTGGCTGAGGTCTTTCAGCGTCTTGCTCTTGAAGTGTATGACGGGTGCCTGCATCCAGGCTTCCATGTTTTCCGTATTAGTAAACAGCTTGACTTTTTGTGGACAAATTAAATGACCCAATTCTCTTTTTAATTAAAGGCGTGAACTTCAGTGATCTTTTCAGAGCTGTGGGCTGCACTTAGATTCTAGAGCACCTGTCTGGCCACAGAAATTAAGTTTGGCAAAAAAATACAGAAGTATAACAGACTGATGACTGGCCATGCTGGCCTCTAGAGTTACCTCAGTAAAAACCTTCTCCCACCTAAATGTGACAGCAGTTCACAAGGATAAGTGCACTTGTCTTGCAGGCACATTTTGAGAGTCATGAGACCTCACACGCAGTTAATAACATCTGTTCCTCCTGATTCTCAGCTCAGTTTAGGGCCACAGTGAAAAAGACAGTAGACGTAAGCGATCCCATGCAACCTAGTGCGTTATGCCTAGGCCTAGCATGTTTTCCTATTTCTGTTTAAAAGAAAATTAATACCAGCTCAAATACCCTTGAAATATAGGTTATGAAGGAAAAGGTAGCTGCTCAAAAGTATTGAAAAAATGAAGCTTCAGTTAAAACCGAAAATTTTAAGCTATGGCGATTGCAATGAAAGTTGCAGACTCAGACAAACGAGTAAGAGTACAATTCAGCTTTGGATGAGATGTTTGGAGAGATATTTGGAAATCACCAGAAATTCTGACATTTTAAAACAGATTTCCGTTCAATATCAGATTAAGTACCATGGTAATATTTTAATTCCTCAGTTAGAGATTTTCGATGCATCATATAGTCCAAATGAACTTTGGAAAAATTAGGTGAATACTTTGTACCACAAATCTTCATTTGTTAATATCGCTGTACAGATTATAAAATACAGGTACAGGCACAGGCACATATTAAAATGGCACAAAAGCAGGAGAGTCCTAAAAAGGAAGAAGAGGTTGGCCATGTATGTCAAGGGAGATAGAGAAAACTAATGAAAACAAAATTTTATTGTTTGTCATGGGGATTATGGTAAAAAGAAAAAAGAAATAATGTTAATATAATTAAAAAGAAAAAAAATATTAATTTAATTATTATAATTAACAAAGGGATATTTAAATGAAAAAACTTACCCTGCTATAGGATATGTATCTCTGTTTATGGAGGATTTTTAAGGATTAGCCAGATATTAGTATTTGTACAGTAAAAGTGTATGTTATGTATTTCCAAACTATTTTAGGGAACACTTCAAAATGTCTCTATCAGTATCTCCCCACTCTAAACGGGAATTATTAGAGAGCCTTTCCCTCCCTTAGGGCACCATGGCAACTGTGATAAAACTCAGTGTTGAAAAGCATTCTTCCTTGATTTTGATTGCAAGAGAATTCCTTATGAATGTCACCTATTGAGTTTTATCCCTTCTGCCATTTCAGCAGAATCCAAATCCGTTCTAAACTTAAATTTCAAGATATGTTTAATCTACTAAGAATCATATTGGAGAGCAGAAATTAAGGGAGATATGGATTAGAGTGATAGTTCTGGTTTTTCCCCCCATGAGAAAATAGAAGCTATGTGTTCTTAGCCTTTGCTACATGTTTTTTTGAGGATTATGATGCTTGTGATTGTCCAGTTATTGATATAGTTTTTTTACAATTAAAAATAAAGTAACTGTTTTAGTAATGTCAACCCTCTGTTTTTCAAATAATCCCAGAGATGATGAGCTGAACTTTGCAGTTCTACAAAAGCTTCAACTCAGAAAGGCCACGTCTAGTTTGGACACCTGTCCATTGTACATTAAGAATGCTTTCAGCTTGTTTGCATTGCCCTCTTGCTGTAATGGCTGGCTTGGCAACCCTGTGTCCCTTTTTCCAGACTGAGCCAGGCCGTCCATAGTGCAGAGCATATGGACCTTTGGATTTTAGCAGTGGTTCAGATCCCACAGTGTAGATGTGGTCATGGTACCCACTGTAAAAATAAAACTCCTGACTGAATTACTTCTGAATTACTATGTCCTTGCTTATCTTTACTGAAATACAAGTTTGATCAGCCTTCAGGTAGGTGTGTTTCGTTGTGTCAGTTATTTAAGACTGCATTATCCTGCACAATGCATCTGCATGTTTCAATTGTCTTGTGAGTTCAATGAGAATATTTTAAAAAATAAAACAACTCTCCAAAATAATAATAAATGTTAAATATCTTTCCAGTTTTAATCACTAATATGCTTTCCTACCTGTATTGTAATGCTTGGTGCAGTAACATAAATCCTTTTCTTCTTTCAACAGAAACTGTGGCAGAGTGAGACCTTCTGCTACTTGAACTGCTCCCTTTTCTTGCCATTCAAAAATGAGATCATTCATTGTGTATCCAACTAAAAAAAAAAAAAAACAAACCAAAAATGCACATAAACTCTAAGGCAGCTGCAAACTTTTTTTCAAAAGGACATGCCAAAGAGTGATGGCTTAAGTCAATGTCATAAAAAGGAGATAATACAGGGAGCCTGCTTATACCTGTTACTCACAAAGTGCTATATCTGCTGTTCTATACCATACTGAAGCAGAAAAAAAAGCCAGTCTTATGCATCCTTTGTAAAATCTTAATAGTCAGGTAGTCTATTAGTGGAGTTAACAAAAGTATAAAAATGAGCTAAACATCTTCGATGCTTGGGAAAATCTTACCCTCCCCAGCCCATGAAGGATAAAATAGGCCACACTCAGATCTCTTTCTCCTTTTGAGCTGAAATTGTGGATTGTCAAAGCTATGTTTGTCGATTTGTGTAAATTTGAATTGTTCAGTGCAAATTCTTCAAAGAGAGCAATGAATGAAAATTTCTGCAGGAGTGAGGTGTTAGTTGAGTTGAAAAAATACTTTTCTCTGAAACTGGTACAAAACAAGGGAAAGCAGTTGATTGTAATCTCGTATTAGCTGACTGTGACTTATCATGAAATTAAAAGGCATTCAATTTTAATATTCAGATTCCTGCGTTTATCTGTACCTCATGCATGTGTGTATGAAATTAAATAAAACAGAAAAAGCCATAATAAAAGTACTAATCAAGGTCCAGACTTAGTAAAGGGCGAGTACGTTTTATTTCTATTTCCCTCTCTCAGCTGAATATTTTCATTGGACATCATTGGGGAAAATAGCTCTACTTTCTCTGAATATGTCATATATTACTGCACTCCAGTACATCCCTGGCATTTTATTCTACATTTTTTCTGAGTAAATTTTATCTGGTTATGACAACTGAAAAAAAAAAAAGGGTACTTGTTCTCATTCAGGTTTCATTAAGGCTTTCTCAGAATCTAATAGATTTGGAAAAAGTGAGATTTTAAGATTGAAATCTAAAACTAGATCGTTTCTATTGCTGTAACAGTTTGAATGACAAGGCTACACTCGGGTCATATGTAATAGCCTGAACCAGAAGGAAAAGGGATTAGTTTTTACATCTAAATTATATAGCTTTCATTCATCCATTTTGCTTCTCTACAATATTTCCTTTTTGCTTTAGTCCAAAGTGCTAATGAGCTGTTGAGGATAACGTATTGATAAATGAAAATATCTTTTAACCTTTCAGTTACAAATTACTGTTCTAAGTATGTTACTCAGAACTTTCTAAGAGTAACTGTCGGCCAGCAAATACTGAAAATTTGACTTCCGGTGAAGGAAATAACCTCTTTGGTGTGTGGGCATAGATCTTTCCCCTGTTATACTCAGTGGCTTCATTACTCCTTGCATACATCTATAAACGTTATTCAGTCATAATGCCCTGATATGCTGACCTTGAGTCTGAAGCACACTTCATCCTTTCTGGTTTGTATACGTTGAGTACACCTATAGGCGAAAAATTGGTGTTTGTAAACCTAAAACTGTTTTCAATACTTCTCCTTGCTTCTAGATTCTTGATGTGTTTTTTTGGGGAGTATCTTTATACAAGGTATTCACAGGCACTCAGGCTGATTCTTGATTTATTTTGATATTTTGTGGGGGTTGGATGAATATTCTAAAAGTGAGACCATATACTTTAAAATAAGTATTTAATTAAGATCAGATGTTACTCAAGCCATTACAAGCATATATTAACTGTGCAAGGAAACACTTATTTTTCTGCATTATTCAACATTCCATAAACACAGTCTTAAAATTCACTATTAAATGCCATAAACTATGAAAAATGAGAAGTACAGCTCTTATCAAACATTGCGTGAATTCAGACAAAAAATAGTTGTATGTAAAGCAGATTATCATCTGAAGCACGTAGATTATGGCCAGAAGTGATATCCCCTCAGTAAAACTCATTGAACTGACAAGAAACAACTGCTGTGTCAAGATGTATTTCACTAAATCAGATTCATTCATCTCTAATACATGCTTTTAATTTTGATTATCTACCCTGCCCACTAATTATTCTATAATCTATAACAATAATAGTGGTGTATGCAAATGCTGCTGTAGTAAGATGATGTTAGTTCATTTTTATCCTTTACATTTTAAATACCCAAATATAGCTTTAACATTCAATACTGTAACTTCAGTTTTCTAAGTCAAGTTCATAGTTATGAAGTAAATGTGTCTTAAAATGTAAAGGAGCTTAATGGAGATATGAGTTTATGTTATACCAAAAAAATTTAAAATGGTATAAAGTATATCATATTTCCACTAGGTATGTTAATTTAAATCAACTTTAATTAAATCTTTATTAAATTTATGTCCCTTTATTAAATGCGAAATACATGGCCGAATCAAATGTGCCTGTTGAATTAGGGAAGTCTAAAATCTTGCAATAGTCCTGTAATTTGAGAAGTGGGAAAACATAAATCATTTAAGTGTATTGAACTATTTCATAACACAAAATTGTTTCTGAATTTTCTTTAGTGAGCAGTGTTAACAAGGACAGGTATTCTTGATTTCCCAACTGAAAATATTCCATTATTTGGTACAGTTCCAAATAAACTGACTGTCTCTTTATTGGAGCTACTGCATCATTCTTTCTTCTTGGCATGGAAAAAAGGAAGAAAGACTACCGTGGAAAGTATCTAGTTACCAGCAGAAACAAAGCAGAACCAGAGAATTTGCAAGAACAAACTGCAGCTCACATCCTAGGCCCATCCCAGGATATTCTATGCACAAAAGGGATAAACCCCACATTACTCTGTGTTAGAATTTTTTCAGGAGAACAGCAATACTAATTGAGCTAACTGAGCTTCCTTAATATCTCAAAAAACCCCGATAATATTTTTTTAAATTAATTTTATGAAGAAGACCTGCTGAATAGCACAGTGCTTAACACTCAGAATGCTCATGGTGTTGTGTGCACTGTGTGTAAGGGGAAAAAGGCATTAAAAGACTTTAAAACAGTCAGTGGTTACTATAAAACTGTATACTGTACATATACTATTACAGTTTAGTTATATGGTGTTATATATGCAATAAGCCTAAAAATTAGTCCTCCAGCACCCCAATTTTGGGAGCTCTGCTGGTTAATATAATTTGTGTCCCTTATTAAAGTGCCTGGGCTCCCAGCAGCATGAGAAGACACCATGGCAGATTTTGAAATTACCTTAAAGTTCAATCTCAGCAACAACGTAGAGACTTATGATCCTGATATGGATAAGGCACCAAACTGCTTAGTGCCATCAGCATGGGGGTGGGGGGCTAAGTGCACAGCAAGGAGCAGAAGTGTAGGGAGTTTTGGTAAGGAAAATTTTGAAGCCTCAAGGGCGGAGTGTTATTTTTTAGATTTAGGATCCTAGAATTGCCAGTTTATAGTATTAGAATTATTTGGATAACTTCAAAATTCTAATACCACTGCCTGCATTCAATGGAACTATACAGACCTTTCATGCATATGTGTTTACAGTACCGAGGCCTACATTTGCAAAATGGAAATGATTGGATGCTGCAATAGAGCTCTCTTAGTCCTCTAGATGAAACATTACACTCATCCATCCACTAATGAAATGAATTTTACAGGAATAAATCATGAAAACAAGTTAATTATTTAATGATCTGTATAAGATTACCAACTGATTAGCTGAGAAAAGACAGATGAGAGAAGTGAGTAATTGTGCTCCCTTTGTTCTAGGTTTATGCGGCACCAGTCAATCTAACTGATCAAACTCATAATTAAAGCTCAGTGTTCCTGAGAAACAGTTGCAATTAAGTATAATTGATCTGATTGCACTAGTACCCAAACAGTAAAATTCAGTAAGACAGATATATTTGTGTGGTCTCTCAAATTTGCTTTGATATTCTTGAACAACGGCACCACTAGAAGAAAGGGCTAATTTCTTGCATAGAAATATGCAGAAACAGTTCAAACAGAGTATTTTAGGAATGGATTATTCTGCCAATGATTGATAAATATATTACAGGTTCAATCTGGTGCTTTAATTTTTCATGAAATAATCAGAAGGCATGATAATTAAAATAAGGCAAAACATCTTAAAATAAATTCTAGAAATACTAAGCCTGAAGTCCACCTGAGTTTTTGGTTTCTGCTCAGCTGCTTGTGTTATCTGATTAATAAGTGTGCATTATCTTTAAAGCAATTTAAAAAAAAACACTCAGTAACATAACTTTAAGTAAAAGTCTAAATGCCTCTTGCTGATATTGGTCTACTGTCAAAGATTAGATACACTGTGTATACTTTCCAAATGGCCTGTGTGATAAAATATCCAAGGAGCCATATTCCATTGCATGGTTATCACTGTGCAAATGAAGCAGTTAAGAATGTTATACGATCAGATCAATTTCTCAGCAAACTGTGGGCTTGAAATGTGAAGACTTTATTCTAAGCATGTGTGTGGTTACCAGTACAGCCTTGCACTCTATGTGTTTTATTGTTAAGTATGTTCTGCACCTTGTAAGAACTGCATTGAAATATGTAGTAGTTATAAAGAACAAGATGTTCTCCTTAGGGATTCTAAGGGATAAGGAAGATAACAGTGTCTTTATTGTGCTGTTATGTCCATAAATACCGAAACCACAGAAACTAGCTGGCAGGAGAGTTGGCATAATCTAGGAATTTGAGGTAACAGAGGAATCAGTTCACAACAATGTCATAGAATGAGGAATCATGTCCCCTGCAGTTTTTCAAATTCAGATTCACGCCCTATCTCCCTGAAGAGACCTGTTTCTAGATTCTGCTCCTTACATTTGCTATGCAACAGAAGCCCATGCCAAATGTTAATGCAGTGATAAGTTTTGCAGTTTATTTATATTTTTTAGATTTCCAAAAATAGCAAAGACAATATTTAATCATATTTCCTATGCCTTGAACATTTCTATCAGGAGGGTACTGTATTTTGTCTAGGGAAATAATTTCAGTGGCCTTCTACTCAACTCTAAGAGTACAGAAAAAGATGTCCC